CGCAATTAAATGTATGGCATCACCGAGCGATAGAAAGACAAACGTGATTGCCATAACCTCTATCACAACTGAGGACAATGAAAAATATATATTACTAGAAAATGAAAAATTTGTAAATAACCACAGCGAACTAACAAAAACAAAAAGCTATAAGAGAATGGAAAAAAGCCTCAATCTAAGAGGTAAAAAAAGAAAAATATGGATTAAATGCACACGAGAAATGGATAGTACGTATTTTGATGAAAATGGCAATATAATGTTTAATGATCTATATCTAGAAGAAATAGTAGAAACAAACATAATAGAACCCACACAGAAGAAAGAATACCAAATAGATTTAAAGGGTATATCGGAAAAATTCATGATCGAAAAATTTGAATGTAGACACTCAAATGCAGAACAATGGTTGGAGACATTTGAAAAAGAATGTCAAAGATTCGAAATTAAAAAAGATAACACAAAAATTGAAATTCTAAGATTATTCCTTGACAGGGCATGTTTAGACTGGCACTCAGCAGCACTAACAGCGTTGACAATAGAGGCTGGTTGAAACGAATGGAAACAGAGATTCTTGAAATCATTTGCAGACATGGGATGAAGTACAAGTATATACGCTATATCCTACAGATATAAAGAAGGTTCACTAATAGAGTACGCTATGAGGAAAGAAAAACTACTACTGGATGTGGACAATAATATCGGTACCCTGATAATCGGGACCGTGATAATGCTTATAGCAGCAGGATTACCAGAATTCATAAGAGATAAAATAGACAGAGAAAATTGTCAAAATTCAACAGAATTACTATAAGAAATAAAAAAATGTGAAAGTCTAATAAATAAGAACAGTTTTACAAAAAAGAAACTTGAAGAAAAGAAACCGTGTAAGAATTGTGAAAAACTAAACAAAGGCATTAGATATCATTCAGAGAACTTCTGTTGGTTCAAAAAGGAAAATAGAAAAGAAACCAGAATAAATGGAAGCAATTCGATGATAGAAGTGGACCTATGCAAGGAACAAAAAAAACGAATAACCACACCATTGATCAAAGTAAAGATAGTATTAGCAGAGAAGTTAGAGATAAACGGAACATATGACTTAAGTTCTCAAGTCTCTCTAATAAATTCGAGACTAGTCAAAATAAAAAAAAGAGACAAAAGATAAAAATAAAATATTTTTAAAGACAGTCAATGGTGTGAAACAAACAAAAGGTTTAGTAACCATTAAAGTAAAAATTTTCGATAAAGAGGAATACATTGATGTATTTATTGTAGAAAGAAATGACTTTGAAGATTCCATTATTGGGTTAGATATGATAAAGAAATTCAAACTAACTCAGGATGAACTTACAAATATCTCAAAAGAGAGAAACACAAACAAAAAAAAATATAAATACATTGGATAGAAAGAAAGAAATAAAAGAAGTTAAAATAAATTTTAACGAACATGTGAATGAAGACGAATTTAGATCGGATCTGAATCACTTGGACAATACAACAAAAAAACAAGGATAAAAAACTTATAGAAAGGTATAATTTTATATTTGCAAAAAACAAATATGATGTAGGCACTGTTTCGGACTACGAAGCTCGAATAGACTTACCGGTTGATAAGTACTACAGTAAGAGACCATATAGATGCACTATACAGGATAAAAAGGAGATAGAAAATCAGGTGGCAAAACTATTAGAAAATAAATTAATTGAAGAATTTTATAGTCCGTTTGCAGCACCAGTAACTTTAGCATTCAAAAGAGATGAAAACAAACGATCACGATTGTGTATAGATTTCTGCGAATTAAACAAGATAGTTACATCACAACCATTCCCATTAATAGAAGATTTAATACTAAAAGCAAGAAACTGTAAATACTTCACCACATTAGATATAAATTCCGCTTTCTGGTCAATTCCATTACGTATTGAAGATAGACAAAAAACAAGATTCGTTACACAAGAGGAGTACTTCCAATGAATATGTCTATCGTTCGGACTAAAAACATCACCAGCCATTTTCCAGAGAATACTATCTAATATTCTAAGAAAGCACAAATTAAAAGATTTTTCAGAGAATTACATAGACGACATATTAATTTTTTCAATATCATTCGAAGAACATATAGAACACATAGAAAGAGTAATGAAGGCAATAGTAAACGAAGATTTCAAACTAAAATTTAAAAAATATACATTTGCAACAGAATCAGTGAAATATCTCGGACACATAATAGAGCACAATACAGTAAGATCAGTAAAAGATAATCTAATCTCAATACAAAATTTTCCCACTCCAAAAACTCAAAAGAATATTAGACAGTTTCTCGAAAAAATAAATTTTTATCACGAATACATACCGAAAAACTCAATACTGCTAGACCCATTACATAAACTGTTAAGAAAAAATGAAAAGTTTATATGGTCTGAAGAGTGTGAAAAATCTTTCACAAATATAAAAAAATTATTATGTTCTCAACCAGTGTTGCAAATATTTGATAGAAATTTACCAATAAGAATTTACACGGATGCATCACTGGAAGGCATTGGTGTAATATTTAAACAGATACAGAGTGATGGTAAAGAAAAGCCAGTAGCATACTTTTCAAAAAAATTAGATAATTCACAAAAGAGAAAAAAAGCAATTTACTTAGAATGCCTGACAATCAAGGAAGCGGTAAAGTATTGGCAACATTGGCTGATCGGAAGAAAATTCACGATATTCACAGACCATAAACCATTAGAAGGTATGAACATAAAAGCTAGAACAGATGAAGAACTTGGAGAATTAACGTACTATTTGTCACAATATGATTTTCAAATAAAATATATTCTGGGAAAAGATAACGCTGAAGCAGATAGTCTAAGTAGAAATCCAGTACTGGAACCATCCGAAAATACGGAAGAAATACTAAAAATAGTTAATCTAATAAAAATAAAAGAGATAAAAAATTAAAGAAATACATTCTGAATGGTGTCATATAGGGATCAAACAAATGGATATTATATTATTATACAGCTAAAGGTATAACTGCAAATATAAAAAAAGTTTGCCAAAACTGTGAAATATGCATTAAAAACAAATCCAGGGGGCAAGGAAAATATGGACGGATGTCACAACTAGGACCGGCAACGAAACCGTTCGAAATCATGTCCATTGGAGGCTTCAGAGGACAAAGATCGACAAAGAGATACCTCCACCTGCTAGTGGACCATTTTACAAGATACGCGTTTATGATAACATCAAAAACCCAAAGTGCAACGGATTTCATCAAACTGATAAATAAAGCACTAGAAATCGACAAAATAGGAGTAATACTTGCAGATCAATACCCGGGAATAAACTCAAGAGAATTTAAGGAATTCCTAATAAAAAATGACACTAAACTGATTTTTACGGCTGTCAATGCGCCCTTCTCCAACGGTCTGAACGAGAGACTGAATTAGACCCTAGTAAACAAAATAAAATGCAAGATAAACGAGAAAGGAAAAAAAAGAGCTTGGTCCAATATCCGAAGATGGTGACGAGGATTAAAAATTGTAGACATTTTATCCGGGGGAGGGGGGAGATGTAAAGAAAGTATACTTTCTTCAGGTAGATTAGCCGCGTTTCTCATGGCCCCCCTTCCATTGTCCTTTGTTATTTACAAATTCTTTTGTTACCTACAAATCGAGCCGTTAAGATTTGCAAGAGAAACGGGCAGTAGGAAATAGAACGTAGAAGAGAGAAGTAGCATGAGAGTTTATAAGGAAATTTATATTAGATAATATATATTAAATAAAATTTAAATAGTGTGAATAATAAACGTAAATTGTCGTTTCTTTGTTCACAGGTAAGACTAATTAGCAAATAAGTATTAATGAACAAATAAAGATTTATTACTTTGTTCACAGAGAAACATTTTCGTTTATCACTTCACATAATTAATCCGAGATATATATATATATATATATATATATATATATATATATATATATACTATATATTATATATAGTAGCCCAAATGGATAAAAGTGTAACTAACTCCGAGAAAAGAAAGTGAGAAATGAATGATGATAGGCAATTAACACGTTGCTGCACACTTTTAATTTGACGATCGTGCTCAGAAACATATTATTTTTCAATTGTTTATGATTACCATATGAAATTGAGCGTAGTTGTCATGTACAAGACGGTTATGGCCGTCATTTGCGGCAACGTGTTAAGGAAGACAGAAGATGAAAAAGATCGAACTAACACGAATGTAACAATGCTGTAATAGATAGCGCTGTGAGTCGTATGTGTTTCGTGATTCGTCTCCCCCTAGGAATTTACTTTCACTGCTTATTTATTGCCCAGTTTGACTCATTATTCTTATGTCCTTGACTAAAAATACGTATACGTGTGGAGATCTGGGCGGAAAGAAGTGCCAATATATACCTTCTTCGCTAAGATAACGATTTACTGTAATCTCTCTTTTAGAAGCTTTTATAGATCTTCAGAATCTCTTTAGCTCGCGATTAGCCCCAACGAAGGTCATCGAATTGTCAAAATACATATGTATTGACTTTCCTCTACGCGCAATAAATCGTTTCAATGAATTCGTTCACTAATTCTCGGGATCTTGTAGGCCTGTCATGTAGGGGAATAATCTCTATGGGAGACAATCCGCGAGATATTAGATCAGCTGGGCTATCAATGATCTTAAGAATCACCACTGATACAGCACTTCTATGTCTTTTATTTCAGCGATTCGGTTAACCACGAAAATTTTTAGTAGATGAGACGAGGTATCGATCCAAGCTAGACAAATGATCGAATCAGACTAGAAAATTGTTCTAGTAATAAATAGGGTGTCCCATGGAACTAGGTCGAGCTATATCTTTAAAAGTATTGTAGATCGACAAAATTAACTAATATTAAACGCTACATAATTCTGTGAAACTTTTATGCTTTTTTGTGCATCAGTGCAGTTGGAAGGTGCAATTGCATTTCTTTTTTTTTAATAAAACTTTAATATTCAATCCAATAATTATCCAACAAAATATTAATATCCAATTTTTGACCCTCTATAAAGCATGTTAATAATGTTATGTCTGAAAATTGTTAATTTAGATGTTATATTAATTTCAAGTATGATGAATTATTTCAATGTTTCAACACAATGCGTGGAACGTCTAGTCCACTTAATAGAGACAACTGGTCTTTAAGGAAAACTATTCAATATGATCTATGGCAATCGTTGACGATTACGTTACATTATTATCATGATATCGATATGCTAATCTTATCTACAAGTCCCTCCTTTCTCTTTTTGTTATTTTATACTTTTCTCTCAATCAATATCTACAACGATAACAATCTTCTCTGTTGAAATGATCGTGAACGTTATATTCTTCCAAATCTATGTATCCATCTTTACTTTCACATCTTTAGATCTTTTCGATAAGACTATAATTTTATGAATCTTTCAGTACAGTGGTAGTCAATATTGAATCTTCTTCTAAATAGATTTATTCAATAATTCTTTCAACCGAGGTCGAAATTAGATTTTTTACCTTGACCGTCTGCTTACATCCTTTCGTATCAGGTCCACGAGTATAGTCATTTACTCGGTCATTAATCTAATATCATTAATAATGATATCCTTTCAAATGAGAAATGAAGTAATTATGATCGCGTTTTAAACTAAACAGACTAATACGACGTAAATGCTGAAAACTTGTGAAGTCCAAATAAAGATCAAGCAGGTAGATGAATGAAGATCTTTTCTTTGTTTGTTGAATTCGTCTCAGCGTTTAATGCTTTAATCGTCGGTAAATCTTGAAACGTTTTACATGACCGGTTACCCAGAATCGAACTTTCGGAAATAACAAGATAAATAATTAGTCAATTAGAAAACTTATATTTCAGTATTATAATAAATCTATTTACTTATTCCTTCCAATCGTTTAACCGAATACCACATAAAAATCTCAAAGAACTCAATACTTCGGTTTACGCTTCCTACCATTGTTATTATAGTTATTAATCTCTTGATTCTTCGATCTTCCTTTTGTAAAAAGATTCTTCGTTCTTTTCCATTATAAAGTAGGTGAAATCAACGTCAAAAGCATTGAGATTATTAAATCAGCTTTGCTTGAATCTGTTTGACACGTTTTAGAAATTGCAACAGATGGGCCATTGAGATTATTGTCTTATTTTTCATTCATGTATGGACTGCTCGATAATATATTTATCTTCTCGAGTGTATATCGCCGAAAGTGATTCAGTCTCTGCAGCAGCATAGATATTGTCGTAGTAAGATAGATATGGGCACGTTGACCACCATTCAAATTTATTCTTCTTTCAACAATGATCTTTCTATTAACATAAATAGACAAAGCATTGTCCTCCTATTTTCATCCTTAATTGGCAGACCTAAAATTTTGGTTCGTAATGTGATTTATCCATACAATAACCAAAAAGTATGTTCTGCCTAATTGAAGTAAAAATCCATAGCAGTTAATTAATAGTTAATTAAATACTTTATCATTGAATTTCAAAGAATTTTTCATCTTTGAAAATTTTCCTGCAGTATAATTTGTAATAAAACACATATTTTTCCAAAATATATCTTTCCCACGATTGCATCTAAGCTAGCAGATTTGATCGATAAATTAACACTGCTTTATTGTCATAGTTACGGTAATATATATATATATATATATATATATATATATATATATATATATATATATATGTAAAATATTGTTTATAATATAAAGTACATCACTTTATAGGTTTTCTAAATGGTTCTAATCATCGATGTATTATTTACTTCCTACTTTCTCGACAATTCTCGAAAAAGATATATTCTAGATTTACATTTTTATAATCTTCACAAGACCAATTAATTTTATCATGCAATCTTTCACCTGTTCATTGAATTGATAACATCATTAGCTTTGTCACTTTCTTTCTAATATATACTGAAACGACGATCATTCTCCTGATTGATTATTTTTCAGTTCTCTAAACGAGAAATTTACTTTCCTTGAAGAGTAAAAAAAGACGATTAAACTTGCAATTAGAACTGATCCCACTTACCAGTAAGAAATACAGATAATGTTAAATGTATGAATTGAATCAATCATATAATGAATATTGTCTCTTATGTAATCTAATCCGTTAGTGTTATTAACCATCTGAGATTAAACATTTGGAAAAGTCAATATATGTATACATATATGAACGTATATTTCATGATGATGATATAGCATTCTTTATAATTTATAAATTATTATTTTATTTATGAATAATAAATTATAAAATATATGTTATTTATATAAAAAGGAGAGATCAGAGACAAGTGTAACAGTTTTCAACAATTTAACTTATCGTTTCTGCTTATTGTAAAGACAAATTTTAGATTTGTTTAAGAAGAACAAGTGTTTGTTATTGTTTCTGTTGTTCATGCTGTCTTTAATAAATATTTAACATATTTTATTACTCATTAATTAAATTAGAAGAAAAAAATTAATATTTCTTATTTGTCCAGCCAATGATTCATGATTCTGAGGTACACAATTTGGGCATTTCTTTATAAATCCAAGCACATATTACTTTTATTTTCTTCTTAAAATATAATCTATCTTGTAAACCTAAATGAAAAATATATCAGCTCATGAAGATAAATAAGATGAACGTAACAGCGTTACGTAATAATACACTTTTAAATCGACTTCTTTTCTTGTGTTTAAATAATGCAACAGATTCTGAGAATTAACAGATCAGCAATTCTGAAACATTGGACATTAATGGCATACATTGACATAATTTTAGATGAAAGAAAAAATATATTTTTTGATATAAATATTTTATTCAACATTATTTCCACTTCTTATGTGTATTTACATAAATACACATAAAACCTTTTTACGAGAAAAAAGAAAGCGATTTGTAATTTAGAAAAAGAATAATACAAGATTATTTATTTGATGAAATATTTATTAAGTTTTATCTCGCTTATTGATAAACTATTTATGAATATTAGAGTGTTATCAATTAATATAATATTTCTTCCAAAACATTTTGTCAATATTCTGCATAATTATGGCTCAGATCTGCTCTTTTTCTTTAAGAAATTTCCTAATCTTTAACAGATTTTAACAATGCGATCTCTCAGAAAATTACTTTGATCCTCTATCAATGGTTAATATAATAATCTCTTACAACTCTACTTCATATCCATATAAAAACATCCTAAAATATCCACCCAAAACAAAATTTGTATTTTGTAAACAATAATAGCTAAGAAAAATAAATATCACAAGTAGTACTATTAACACTATTGAAAAGAATAAATTGGAATCAATAATATAACAGAAACTTCCGAAACTTTAATACCAGTTTCTTCAAATGGTTAAATTCATGTTTAGAGGTTAGTTTTTAGTTTTAGCCAATTTTTGTCATTTAATAAACTTTTGACACATTAATTTTGATTTCTAAACTACAAATCTATTACAAGATTCAGTAAATGACAGGAATAAATCACGATATAATATATAATAATCACTTATACTAATAAAAGACTACATGACAATACACTGCACATACTTGAGGAACAAACAAAAAATAGAAATGTCAGAAAATATGACAGCTCATTAATCACTTCCGCAGAAATAAAATATTTTCCAAAAAATACATAACATAATAAAATAAATAACATAAATAAAATAATTGATTATTTAAATAAGAAGTTTATATATTAGTCCGATCTAATTATTTTAACGTTAAATCATATGTATAATTAAATAATTAGTTAATAATTAATTATTAAGTAATTAATTAATATAAATCCGAATAATTTTTATCATTATTATTTAAATAATCTTAACACAATTGAATTTTAAAATGTTTACAATTCACAATTCACAATTATAAAATGAGACTGCTAACTAAACGACACATGCAATTTTCAAACGTTCATAGCTATGAATCAGATGGTATGATAATTTAAATGAATATAGATATTAAAATGATGTAGGACTACGTTACTGTCAACAAATCTGTTAATATTAAATTTTTTCGTTTTGATTATTATATTATTTTATCTTAGTATTATACACTAGTTTAAAAAAGACGCGCGCTTATTAGGAATCGCTACAGTGTATTTTATGACATCATGACATTATTTGCCAATCAGCGTGTGATTTCATCCAGCCAATCTCGTTTCAGTAATTCACTTTCCTATGATTCTAGGTCAAATGAGGGAAAAGTTTTAGTCTTTTTTTCTCCTTTTTAAGTCGTTTGAAACTATTTAAACGCTTTATTTTATTCAATCCTCTATTAATACCAAGTATATTCATCTTTTTAATAGGAAGATTGACTATTATCCTTCTCAATTAGAATGAGAATGATTTTAAATGGGATGCGATCGATACTTGCGTAAAGAAAAATAAAAAGAAAAGGTCGTGCGAATAGTCATATAAAACAGTGATTAATAATTTTTAGGAATCCGAAAAAACAACATGCTCTTCTCTTATTAAACAAAGCTATAAATTTTACTGTTATCTCTTGTAATTTTATGTTAATAAAAATATATAGAAATAATATGGTACACTATTACTAAACTAATTGCTATTTCAGATCTACAGATTAAAAAATTTTAATACAAATAAATTTATAAAATAATATTTAATGTACTAGTTTTTTGTTATTAGTTATAATTAAAGTTTAATAATTTAAATTTCTAGTTTTTATTAATAATTTAATAATAAATTATAAATAATAATTAAAATTAGTAATTAATAGTAGTTAACAGTAATAGTTTAGCAAAGAAAATATTTTAACAAATTTCGGTTGTACTTCATAAAAGCACTTGTAGCTGATCGAGACGAAATTTGACAGATGTTATGGTATGAGATAGTAAATCTGAAATATAAAAAATTTTCACTTCTGGAAATCATGTGTTTCGCAGATATAGATCCTTATAAATATATTACATATACAATTCGATGTTATTAAATGCACTACTCAGTACAAAGTATCAATGGTACAGATGCAATGTTTTATAAACAATGTATGTATGAAAGAGATATGTAGCCGAGATATAAATATATGTATGTATATATATAAATAGCTAGAACTGGACCGCTTTTGGATTTATACAGCTTCTATTTTTCGTCATTATTGATCGAGAGCTGCACTCTCTACATTTTTGTGAAATCACTGTTGTAAGGGGTTCCGCATTCTTCCCGTCGACAGTCGGCTGCTGACCATGGATGAAGGGAAGGGTGCTGCGAAAAAATGGTTTCTTTCTGTCTATTTTCGTTCGCATTTATTTTCTTTTTATATTTTCATTCGCAGCACCATTGCCTGAATATGACAACTTTCACAGAACAGGCAATGCAGTCTTTTCTTCTTTTGGTTACTGTATGTTATTTCTTTCAGGACACAATTATTTTGGGCATCTTTCATATCCCTTCCCTCACCATGATACAAGATCCTCGAACTTCGTTCGATAATTGGGGTATTCTAAACTGATGCTTCGATAATGATTGCTCTCAAGAAGTCTCTTTTTACTTCGCTTCTCTTGTACGCGACGAGCATAGTTTCTTAAGAATCCGAGAACCACCATCTCTTTAATTCCTCTTTCTTCGTATTCCTCTCATCCATAATCCACGAATGGTATTCCGCACATGTTATGAAAGATGTAACTTTTTGGCGATTTTTTGGCGTCGTTGAACAATTTGGGGAATTTTTAAAAACGTGTATCTTCCACAGCGGTCAAGACGAGCTCTTTAGAAAAAAATTTGTGATCGACAATGAACCCCAAATGTGCTGAGGAGAGTTAAGAATTTTTTTGCTGTTGAAATAAAAAAAAAAAGTAAAACGAAATTAATCAATAACGTTTTTCCTTTCTTATTTGGTAAAAATTATCTTACGATAGCAGTAGGAGACGGACAGAAGATAATAAGAATGTGATCGCAATAAAAATATAAAAAAAAATTTAACTGATTATATTTCATCTTTAAAAGAACAAAAGAAATGTGGTACGACGAAATAGGGAACAAAAAGATAAAAACATGGTAATTGTGATAAAAACAAAGATGATTAACCTCTATCATCTCTTGCTCGTAATACATGTGAGCACAGTATCGCAAAAATTAATCGATCCGATTTTTTGTCCATTATCATTGCTGCATCACATTTGACGTAAGATTCGTCAATGTTTTTATATTCGTCAAGTCTAAACAAATTTACAATTTTATAATAATGCGTAGTAGATATAATGCGTAGTATTGGGTTGCCAACTAAGTGATTGCGGATTTTGTCGATAGATGGACTTTACACTTTTCGCAATCACTTAGTTGCCAATCTAATAGATAGATGCATAGATAATAATGATAATGATAATAACTATAATAAAAGTAATTGTTGCATCGTAAGCGTGCAACTACAAGAACGCGGTCAGATGCGTTTCTCGTACCAAGCTAGCGATGTTAGTTGATTGGCAGGGAGAATCTTTCCTCCGTTTCTGTCAGAGTCGTAGACCCACTCTGATGAATAAAAGCAGCAGTACAAGGTTTGGAAACCATTGAAGGTCCTTAGAAAAATACCTTTCGCTGCGTTCCCGTAAATAAATGGGAGAACGCAAATTTTTTGAAAAATTCCGTGGACCTCGTGAAGTAGATACGCGATGATGAATACTTCGCGAATTGAAATTAAAATAATGTATTTATGGAAATATGAGTTATTGAAAAGAAAATTATTGAGATATTCGGACTGTTCCTTGGTTCTTTAGTGTTTTGTTGTATTGGATCAGCTGCCTCGTTCTTCAGGTGCATTCTTTGAGCGTGCCGTAATTCTTAAATTTACAACGATTTTAATTAATTTCTTTTTCTAATTTTAATATTATTGGTTTCACCAATTTTAACATGATGTTCATTTTTATGGCAATATTATCAATTGTTATTTATTTACTCGATTGATCGATAAATTGATAGTATTTTTTGAAGTTTTTCTCGTCTTTTCCGATTTATAATAAACGTAGTTTAATAGTTTCTACATTATTTCATAACATAAATTTATTACGAAAATTGGTTTATTTTTTTCTTATGTAAGCATACGTTGTTTGCTTTTGTTACTTGTTAGCAGCAAGCTCATTAAAGTTATCATTTCAATATATTTAAATTATAAATTTTATCACTTAATTGTGATTAAGTATGATCAGTGACCAATTCAGTGATTGCTTAAAATGTAATTTGTAAATGCTCTGTGTAAATAAAAGAATATTTTATAGATGTGATCATAGAAAACTTATAGAATAAAAATATGGTTATATACATATAAATTTTGTAATTATATATTGTTCTTATTCTTGCTATACACAACTAAGATAATCAAAAAATTCAGAACTATGTATATATATTATACGTACCAAAATGAAAAAGTGACTTTTTTATAGCTTCTTTTTTTATTTTCTTTTGAATGATTTCTTCTTTTATTTAATTTCGCGACTAATAGAAATTTATGTATTAAAGAAAAGCTTTGACATTTTTTCTACTATAAATACAAAAAAATATTACTAAACAATACTTACGGATCGTTCTATGTTAAACAAAAGATCATATGCAATTATTATAAATATTTTGTTTGAAGTAAAATAAAATTGATATTATTTTTAGTTTTATTATCAACATTTCAATAATATAAAATAATAGTATTTATATTATTAATCCTAGTTGTGCATCTGGTATGTATGATACCCCAGACCAACTTTAAATTAAATTTAAAACAAATAAATTTTTGTAAATAGGGCTTGTGCCGCTATTTATCTGTATTGATCTATTATGAAATATGGTATCTTTATATGTCAACTATCAGACAGTCTGCGTTGTATCAATTGCTAAGTTGTGATCGAGTAACGTTGAAGTTTGTAAAATCTTACTGTGTACCACAGTCCGTGTGCACAGTAAGTAGTTTTTGGATTAATTTTTGTTCTCTATTACTGAAAATATTTTAATCCATTCATGCTCTAAATAATGTGATCCTATATATAAGGGTGGTAAATTATTTTTTGACCTTACATCTTATTCAGATTGAAAATTTAATATAATCAATGAGAATAGAAAACAAGCTATTATACAGTACTATAATAATGAAAATAAAGGAGGAATTGACTCTTTTGATCAGTTATGTAATGTTTTCACTGTTAATAGAAAAACTAATCCTTGGCCTATAAGAATTTACTTCAAAATGTAGGATATAGCTGCTATAAATGTCAGAATATTATTGAAATGTAAAAATGTTGGTAAAAATGTTACAATCTCCCTGCAATCTTGCCTGAAAGAATTCTATAAACATCTTTGCAAGGATTATTTCTAGTGCATTTAAATATGTTATTTCTTTGAAATGATTTAAAATTACATGATTCATGAATTTTTTTTATAATGTAAAAATTTTAAATGCGTTTTCAAGCTTATTGATTATTATTTTCGAGACTTCAAAGAATACACAGAATTTTTTTGGAGTCAAAATTATTTATTCTGTATAAATGATAGCTGTTCAAATTGCCTGGAGTGTAGCACATTCCAAGTGCACAATCAGAAATTATTTTAAGGTGTGCACAACTAGAGTTAAAATTAATTATTGACATAAGAAAAAAATATTTTTTAATATATTTCCATTTAATGACATTTTTTTTATCAAGAAGATGATGTTTATTTTACATTAATTCGTTTTCCTATTTTAAGCTGTTTTTGGATTTTCTCTATTGCATTTACTTTAGTAAAATTAATTCTATTTTATTATTCTATTATATTATATCTTTATACTGGAAAATACTTTATAAATTGTTACTTTAGAAAATCTTTATGAAATGTTGATATCCTGCTTTTTCTTTTACAATGTTTTATTAAATCTTTTTTATTATTTTAGAATTAAATAATATAAAAATATATAACTATTCATTGAATAATATAATTTTATATGATATTGCTAGTAGATATTTTGAAAAAAGTTTAATATTTATTCCCTTTTTTCAGATACTATATCTCCACTTTAGAAGAAAAGTAGTTTTAAAGTAAAAGATTCATAATATTATTGTCTTTACTGTTAAACATCATGCCTATAGTACTATCGGTTTGTTATGTAAGTTTATTAAGTTCAAATTATGTACGCAATATGAACTTCAGATTTCTTTAAAGGATAACGATTTAAAGTAAAATAAAATATACACTTGTAGGAAATTTTATAATCACTTTTTCATTTTATTCACCATTAAATAAATAGATCTTGATTTTTTTAATTTAGTTAACATGTTGGTAAAACAATTCTATTAAATAAGAACAAAGTAAAGTTACAAAGTTACTTGTTTGTTAAAATAATTAGAAGCTATCATGCAAATATGCAATTATTAATACTTTTTATATAATCGTCAATTATTAAATTACATTTATTTCAAACAAGATAAACTGAATCAATTATCAAAACACCTGAATAAATTTTTTTAAATAAACAGAGCTAATTGGAAATAAAATTTCTTTTTTAGTAACATTAACTACCATCTTTAAACTCCTCTCCACTCCTTCGGAAGATTCAGTGACAGGTTCCGATTCGACAGGTACTTCTTTTGCTGTATAAACTTGCAAACTTGATATAAGTACTATTGCCGATTACGCAAAATCACGTTTGGGTCCGCTCCCAAACCTTTTAGTACGAAGTCTGACTTCTCATTCCGGGGCACAAGAGTAATTAGCTATTAGTTTGCACATAAATATTGTAATATTTTTTGATCCACTAGTGTTTGAATTTTGTTCTGTATCTTGATCCGTGTATATTTTAAATTTGATCTAATATCCCGATTTAGATTCACGTAGTTTATAAAAGTTCACATCAAAGCATGCTCTTTTTGATAGATTGTCCTGCTTATATAACATGCGACCTGTGAACTTCATTAGAAATTCATCCAATGATACATATTCCTTGGGAATGTAAATACTATTAAATTTTTTATTTAGATAGTCGATTATACTTCATAATTTACATAAACGATCATCATCTTTGTTTACAACTTCATTATTAGTAAAGTGTAAACAGTGAGACAGTTGAGAAAATCTCCAAGATGATATTATTTTTCGAAAGGATAGAAGTCTTGATTATGCTTCTTTTTGAACAGGATTGAACATTTGATTTTTTTATTTATAATATTAAAATCCATAAAGCAAAATGAGCACTTATTTCATATGCTATTTGTATGCTTTCATACGAACAGAAGAAAATATATTGAAAATTGAAAGAATTTTGAACTACTATATCTGTATAAGAAATAATATCGATAACTCCACGCCCCTCTGAAATTATATTGCAACAAAGATTTCAATCGATGTGCCACGCACGTCTTTTTATTTCTGTGACAATTGTTATCGACACGTCATTGACAATTTGAAGACAAAAACACCTCGACGTACGTCTTTCCAGCATGTCTTTACGCATGTCTTTCCAGCGTAAGTGGTTAAAATGCACTCCGGAACAGATATTTATCTCTATAGATATGCGTTTCTGTATCGTCAAACTGTGTTAGTTGAAACCAATCGACAAACGTGAGTCAATATTTACAATATGGATGATGTAACAGACAAGATGATGGTTATCCATCTTTTTATCTCTTTTGACAGCGATTTTCTCTCTTTTTGATGTTTGTTTATAAATATATACAAATTGATATATATCTATAAATATATATATCTTTTATTGATTATGGGAGGTGATAAACGAAAATATGTTTCTCTGTGAACAAAGAAACGATAATTTACGTTTATTATTCACACTGTTTAAATTTTATACCACACTCCCGTGTTACTTCTCTCTTCTACTTTCTATTTCTAACTGCCCGTTTCTCTCCCAAATCTTAACGGCTCGATTTGTAAGTAACAAAAGAATTTGTAGATAACAAAAACAATGGAAGGGCGGAACATGAGACGCGCGGCCAATCTACTTGAAGAAAGTATACTTTCTTTACATATATATATCTACAAATTGATTATATAAAATGTCGATAGATTGTATCTGAAAATATAACGTTAAACTTTTCATGAGAAACTAAAGAAAACAAAATCGCATTGTTATTCCTTTGTTTAGACAGAAATATTTTAACGGAATATTTTAACGAAATCTTTCAACAAAAAGTAATGATATTTACTTAACATATATTCTTAATATTCTACAGTTTTACAAAATATTATTCATTTATTATAAAATATTTTTATAAGTTATAAACATAATTGTTCATCGTACGTAATGATGTTTTAAAATATCAGAACAAATAGACAAATAAATAAAATTC